TTATTCATGAGAGACACACAGAGAGAGAGGCAGAAACACAGGCAGAGGGAGAAGCAGGCTCCATGCAGGGAGCCCGACGTGGGACTCGATCCTGGGTCTCCAGGATCATGCCCGGAGCTGAAGGTGGCACTAAACTGCTGAGCCACCCGGGCTGCCCAGGCATAAAGTTTTCATTGAAGCAAGATGAATAAGCTCTAGAGCTCTTCTGTACAACATGGTACCTATAGTCAACATTGCTCTGCTATGCACTTAAGATTTGTTGCCAGTAGATCTCATGTTAAGTGTTCATACCACAATTAAAAAAAAAAAAAGAAATCCCAAGATGATCTGGGCCAACACTTGATTCTAAACTGGTTGGTCTGGAGCAAGGCCCAGGCAGAGAGGGTGAGCAGGTGCCACTTAACACGTTTCTGGCTATCCTCTCTGTTCTTTTTTTTTTTTTCTTTTTTAAAGATTTGGTTTATTTATCTGAGAGAGATAGAGATAGCGAACAGAGATAGTGAGAGAGAGTAAAGCAGGGAAGAGAAGGAGAAGCAGGGAGCCTGATGTAGGGCTTGATCTCAGCAGCCCAGGATCATGACCTGAGCAAAAGGCAGAAGCTGAACCAACTGAGCCACCCAGGAGCCTCTAATTCTCTCTGTTCTTTTTTTTTTTTTAAAGATTTTATTTATTTATTTATGAGAGACACACACACAGAGAGAGAGAGAGAGAGAGAGAGAAACAGAGAGGCAGAAACACAGGCAAAGGGAGAAGTGGGCTCCATGTAGGGAGCCCAATGTGGGACTTGATCCTGGGACTCCAGGATCACTCCCTGGGCTGAAGGCAGGCGCTCAACCCCTGAGTCACCCAGGTATCCCAAATTCTCTCTGTTCTTAGCAGTAAATGCTTCTATGTATTAAGCACCTTGAGTACCAAACCCTGAATCCTTCTGGGCATTGTTATTGCCACTTGAGAATTGAGGTTAAGTCACTTTTCCGGGTCCCCCAGCTGGTAGTCATCAGTGCCTTTGTCCTTTCCCAAATCCACCTGATTCCACAGCGCATGCTCTAATTGCTGTGCCCTATGACCTCCAAGCAGGGGTCCCTGTGGGGCATAGACATGGGCATCATGTGTCCCTCCAGTTAACTTCTTTGTCCCTTAAGCTTTAGAGTCAACAGCATCACCTTTGTCCCAGGCTTGTCCACAGTGAACTGTCATTGTGCAGATGCAGAAAGCAGGCCTTTTGTGGCTTGGCACTAAGGAAGAACTTTTTGCCAGTCAGAGGAGTTTGATGGTGAGGTAGGCTGCCTGGAGAGGCTGTGGGCACCTGCCATCGTCACTGCTGGGCAACTATCTAAAGGATCTGTTGGGAGCAGAAGAGTCATCCTTCAGCGTAGTGTGCGGTGTGTGTGTGTGTGTGTGTGTCTGGTAGCCAAGGAGGATTGGGCCTAGATACTTCTAACATGTGCCTAGCCCTAAAATTGAGGAGCTCAGAGGACCAGTTGAAGCTCAATGGGTGAAGATGGTTCTAGAAGATGAGCTCATAGACCTGGGGAGTTCCAGAAGGCTGCTCTCTTCCATCATTCTCTTAAAGCTTGGTGCCTGGGACCCTGGCAGTATCTTGGGGGTGTCTTGAGCTGAAGCAGGGTGTCGGGTCCCTGCTGCTGCTGTCACTGTCACTGCTGTGTCAGCTCTGGTGGGGACAACACTTGATCAGTGAGCCCCCTTCCCCTCTTCCTGCAGCTGTTGACCAGGGCAGAGAGGGGCGTGGAAAATGAACGGGATGGTCAGAAATGGGGGCAGGATTCCTGGGCTGGGAGAGCAGTGAACTGAGAGACAGAAAAGGGAGACCCCTGCTGGTGGGTGTCTGGTCTCTGAATCATCAGATCTCACACCTTGTACCCCTCGACCTGCCATGAAACGCTCTGGATGAACCTGGAGGTTTTAAGTCGCTTTGCTACATAAAGTAAAAAACAGGTTTCTTCATCTGTAAAAGGGGGATATTACTCCTACACCCATTGAGTTGTTGAGAGGATTAGATGAGATTAAGTTAGAAAACTATCCAGAAAAGGCCCAGTGCAGGGTCTGCCAGGTGTGAAGCACTTAGTAAGGTTCTTCCCATCACCTCTCCATCCCCCATCTTGATGGAAAAGGTTCGTGCTCTTGGGGTCAGGATCTCAGGATGCTTCAGTGTACACAGAACCCACTGAGCAGGCACTCCATATCAGCAACTCCACTTGGCTCTTAGGATATGAGTATACACAGGATGGCCATTGTTTCTTGGAAGTTCACTTCATGGTGGAAATGACTGCCGTATTACACAGTCCAGTGTGACAGAGGGATGGCAGAAGCACAGGGTACTTGGGCATGTTGGGGAGCTGGGGAACTCACTCTGGTGTGACCTTTGAAGTACGAGTAGAGTTAGCCATGTAAAGGAAGGAGAGGGTTAGTGCTCCAGACAGCGGGATCATCATGAGCAGACAACATGGCATTATTGGAACTCAGACTGTGAGTGAGGGAGAGGTCCTTACAGCTGAGGACCCATATGAGTCTATGAGGGCCCTCATGGGCCATACCTAGGGACAGTGATGAAGGGAATCATTGTAGGGTGTTGGTGGCCAGGATTTTTGTTTAAAAAACTCATGGTGGTAAATGTGTCTAGAATGGTTTGGACAAAAGAGTTAGGCCTGGATGCGAAGACCCATCAGCATGCTAGGATGGTGCTCTGAACTGGGGGAAAGATGGTGCTATTGGAGGGAGGGCAGAGTCAATAGCACTTGGGGATCTGCTGGCTGGAGATAGGTGAGGGGTGTAGAGATAGAAGGAGAGAAGAAACCATCTGCATTTCTAGTTCGGACAAATGTATTTAAACCAAAGCAGTTATGAGTTTAAAATCAAGAATGTTTTAAACCCAGAAAGAAAAGGCACAAGGAAGCAGATTTGAGTGAGAACATTAGTTCTGGTTTGGACATGCTTAAGCTGAGGTGACGTGAGGTGTCCAAGTGGAGACATCCAGGAAGAAGCTTCAGATTAGGTCTGCTACTTGGGGGGAAGACAAAATTCAATGTCTGTATTCCGTGGGTGGCAGTTAACTTCAGGGCTACACGGAAACTATATGGAAGTAAGAGAGGAGGGCTCAGGGTATAAATGTCTAGAAAACATACCAGTGTTTGAGGCATAGGCAGTCAGAAGAAGTAGCCCAAAAAGGAGCAGAGAACCCAGGAGAGGGGCCATCATGGAAGCCAAGAGAGGCAAGAGATTCAATAGGTGGATTGGTCAACTGTGCAAAAGGCTGCTGAGTGCCCCCATGGGACAAGACCTGGCAAGGCCCACTGGACAGTGCGGAACAGTGTCAGGTGTGGGATGTGGTGATGGTGAAGCTAAGTTCCACTGGGTTGAAAACAAATGGGGAGGGGAAAAAACAGTAATTTTTCCTGTAGAGGTTTCCATGAGAAGAGAGAGAACAGTCAGTATAGATAATGATGAGGCCTGTGAGCGGCCATGCCTCAGAGGAAGGAGAAGTGGTAGGAGGAGGTGCTGAGGACCCTGAGAGAGGAGCGATGGCCCATGGAGTGTGACTGAGAGGTGGGAGAAGGTGAAATCTGGAGCTTGCAGGCACCGTGGGCCTGGACAAACATAGAGGCGCCGCATCCTCCCACGAGAGGGGTGAAGATGAGCAGGATGAGGCTACTGATGCCTCGGTGAGTTTCTGGGAGCTTAGGGATGGACAGGGCAGTGGGGAAGTCTCGAGGGCAGTAATGAGCATCTCGAATACTCTTTGAAGGAAATGGGAGAGAGAAAGCTGGCCAAAGATGAGCATTAGTTCCGGTGCTAGAAGTATTTCATGATAGAAATAACAACGAACCTATTTTTTTAGTACAAAGAACCAGGTTCTCTCCGGGCCTTTCTCTTCTCATTCGTTCTTTCAACAATCCTCTGAGGCAGGTATTATTCATTTCCTCATTGTAGAACTGAAGAAAATGAGGCTCAGAAGATGTCTGAAGTCAGAGATGTTGTGTAGTGTGGAGGTGGACTTCAAATTGAAGGCTCATTGAAAGCTACACCCTCAGCCCACCTTGTCATTCTCCATGGCTTGAGGGTCCAGTGGGGCTGGAGGCCATGTGTTCCTGGGAACACCCGATTGTGAGGTTGTGTGGCTATTTTGTTTCTGTGAAGGGGGACAGTGAGTGTGGCGGAGTAGGCCCATGGTACACGTTGGGAAGATGTGTTGGAACTGATGGTCTGGGAAAGATGGGAATGGAAGGTGATGGGGGAGGTGGTGGTGAGATTCATGGATGGCAAGGCCATGGGAGTGGGTGGCTGAGGCAGAGTGGAGGGGAAGGTCATACCCAGGTGCAAATGCCTTCATGATCCTGAGGGCTAGCCTACGGAGCCAGTGCCGAGACCCGAACCAAAGGAGCAGACGTGAGCTTCCAGGGAGAGGGGCCTTTGCCAGGTGATGTCTTAGAAGGGGTGGTGGGCAGTACCACCCTGGGGCCGTGTGCACACTCCAGAGGGCTGCAGGGTGGCAGTGTTGTAGTGGGAGACTTTGTTTCAGCTCAGGCTGGGAGCAGGAGTCTCTGCGCTAGGAGAGCACCCCCTCGACAACCAGGGTAGGGACTGTATTACACTCTGATGACACCACTGGGCCCTTGCCCTCCGGGAACATCTGCTCATGGCCATCTATCTCGTGGGGCTTTGGAGTCACGTAAACTTTGGTCTTATTCCAAACTTTGTTCCTTCCTAGTTGTGAAACATAGGGCCTCAGGATTCGATAGGGCCTGGCATGTAGTATGGAGCTCCAAGTCTGTTTGTTTTCTTCCCCATTTCCCTTCCTCCTCCTCTCAGCTGCAGGGGCAGGTGTAAAGCATGATTTAGGGGAGTGGGCCTCAGGGAACCCTCTCCTGGCTGATGCTTCATCAGGGCTGCAAGGGGGCTGGTTTCCTGTGTTGGAGCCTTCTTGCCTTTCCCCAGGGTACACTCAGGCCCTGCTTTTCTCTTTCTCCCAAGGGTAACCTTCTGTGAGTGGTGGACCAGGGCTTTTGAGCTGCCTGCCATCTCAAAACCCAGCTGTGAGCCAGCGTGGTGGGGGCTGTGCCTCCGCCGCCTGCATGGAAGCCAGGAGCTGGGCTCTCAGAGGGCATCTGTGCCCACCGGGCAGCATGTTGCTGGCCTTTGCCTCTCTGCTCGGCTGCCTGCTCACCTCCAGCCAAGCCAGGGTCTACAGTCGCTGCGAGCTGGCCAAAGTGCTCCAGGATTTCGGCATGGAGGGATACCGGGGATACACCCTGGCTGACTGTGAGAACTGCTCCCCCCCCAGTCACTGCTGCCCCTCCCCATGCCCCCCCCCCAGCTCTCACTCAGAGGGTGTGGTCTTGGAAGTTTTCTGAGCCTCAGCCCTCCTTTGGACATCAGGGGTGTGGATCCTGTGGGTAGACGATGTTCAGGACAAGTTAAATACCTAAGAAGCAGGTCCTAGGCAGACCTGCAGCATGTCCCTCCCCTGCCCCTGCTGCTAAAGTCAACAGTGAGATAGAGAAGGGTGAGATACTCCGGTGGCCAAAGAGACAGAATCACTTAGTTCTCTAATCATATGGCAGCCAAGAGGGTAAGGCATTCCTATTGAGGTTTCAGGTAAACTGAATCAACCAGTAATAGACTCTTCAAGTTGCTGGTAGTTTCAGGAAGCTGTGAGGTCCAGCCACATCTAGACTCATTTTTGGCTAATTGTAGCCCCCTTTCCAGCTCTCACCTGTGTGTCTCTCATTTTGCCTCTAAAGATCTAGCTCTTGTTCATTTGTCCCACAAAGATTTCCTGGGCCTCACTGCGTGCTGAGCTGTGAGACAGTGGGAAGGCTGGTCTAGGAGTCAGGAAGCCCAAGGGACAAGCTTGACTCTTCCTGCTTGGTAGCTGTGGTGACCCCGAGTGAGTCCCTTGCACCTCTGAGCCATGCTGGAGTCACTTGGGGAGCAGGCAGGAGGATGGCTGCCCTGACCACCTTGAAGCAGGAGTGAGACTCCGAGGAGCTCGAGTGGGGCCCCCTCATCTGCGCCACCCTTGGTCACCTGACCCTCGGGCCTGCGTCTCCACCCTACGCAGGGGTCTGTCTTGCATACTTCACAAGTGGCTTCAACACAGCTGCCGTGGACCACGAGCCTGATGGGAGTACTAACAACGGCATTTTCCAGATCAACAGCCGGAAGTGGTGCAAAAATCTCAACACAGAGGTCCCCAATGTGTGCCATATGTACTGCTCTGGTAGGCTGGGCCTGAGCCCCAGGCAGCCCCCCTGGACCAGTCTTTGCTTCTACCCTTGCTATTATCTCTGGGTGGGGATCCCCCACCAACTTCTGGGCCTACCAAGGAGAGTGGGATGGGACAAATGGTGAGTGTGGGTCCTCCATCCGTCTGACTTGGGGTCCTGGATGGAAGACTGTTCTGAGAGCTTTAGGAGTGTGGGGAGGAGGGTGATGGACTGATGATATCTGTGTTTCTAGAGGGATTGAGAGACCAGGTTGAGTTTAGGATGGAGCAGGGTGTATGTGCACGTGTGTACGTGTGTGTGTGTGTGTGTGTGTGTGTGTGTGTGTGTGTGAGAGAGAGAGAGAGAGAGAGAGGCAGGGAGAAATAGATAGACTCTGGATGTCCAGCTCTGTCCCCTGTTCTTTCATCATGTTTCTCTCCTCCCACCCCAGACTTGTTGAATCCTAACCTTAAGGATACTGTTATCTGTGCCATGAAGATCACTCAACAGCCCAAAGGTCTGGCCAGTTGGTAAGTGACCTGGGCTAGAGCCCCACCGCGCACCCCCCACCCCCCACCTGACCCCAGCCGATGTGGCCAGGACTGGTGGAAAACAGCAGGGAACTAATCTTTCCTGAGTTCTCATTTTGTCCCAGCCACCATTCCATGGCTTCCCAGTCTGACCTTCCCACAACTTTTGGCCATAGGGGTTACTGTCACTGAAGTATTTATAGGCAACACACCAAGTGTCAGGGAGGGTAAGCAATTGACTGGAGCTCATGATGCTGCACTTGGCTTTTCTGCGATAGGCCTATGTTAGGATGCCCACTTACAGGTCTGCTAGACCTGGGTCTAGTCAACCTTGTTTGCCTGCTTGTTTAACTGTGGCATCTTCCTCTAAACTAACTTTTGTAGAAAAGCCCAAGATGTACAACAGAAGCGATTCCCGGCTTGAAGCATGGGGAGAGGTGCTCTAGAGCCTCACCCTGTCAGCCTTCTCTTTTCCTGCCTCTTTCCCAAAAGATGGCCTTTGGAGCAGCCATGCTCACAGGCATGGGAGTTGGATGAGCATCCCATAGGCCACTGGACTAGATCTTTGGTTCCCAGAGGTGTATCCGAGCCAGTGGCCCTATAGCATCCCCTGAGGGGCGTCTCACTGCTTAGTCTCCAACCTCCCTTTCCTCATATTTCTGGATGGGAGACCAGCAGGGCTAGGATGTGGGAAGGGTGAGATACTCCAGTGGCTCCTGGAACCACAGACAGATGTGATCATCACAAGGCAGGTAAAGGAGTTTGAGAGGCAGTGAATATCAGCCCAGGAGCAGAGGGAAGAGCAGGAGACAAGAGGCAGGTTCATGATAGGGAAGCCTTTGCAGAAGTCTGGGTGAGAGACCCAGGGTCTGCACTAGGACAATTGCATAGCTGATGATAGGAGGGGGGTTGGCTAGGAGGGACTGTGCTGGAGGCCTGGGGATAGGTGCTATGTGGCAGTGAGGGAGAGGAGGAGGCAGAAATGACTGTCAATCTAGAGAAGGCCTGAGATGTGCTTTGAGCATGGCCACAGCTTTGGAGGTATGTTGGTTTGAGAACAGTTGATGCCCTAGGAACTGAATCTGGAGTGAGGCAGGCTCTGCAGGATGTAATGCGTAGCTATAAGATCAGGATGAGTGAGTGCAGGCTTGGCAGGAGTCTAAGGGCTTGAGGCCTTGGGGGTGCCACCCCGGGCTGGAGGAAACAGGTCCTGTTGGGTTGCATCAAAGAACAGCTCTCTTTTGTACACTGGGCATAAATTTGTGGCAGGTTTAACTCCTGAGAAGTGGTTGAGGCTAATAACAGGCAGTGGTTCCAGAAAGGATAAAGGGTACTCTTTATTCCCCCCACCTGCACACACTGGGAACTGGTCTGTGCCAGGCTCTGTGCTGCGTGGCCTTCAGAGAGGCTGAGGTCCGATTCCTTGCCCTCAAGGGTCTCACAGTCTAATGGGAGAGGCAAACAAGCCAGCTGACCACACCTCATTGGTGGATCTGTGGAAGTCCTCTAGGGGCACTCTTGGTCATTGGTCCCTTTGACATTGACATCGTGGAATTATCAAAGTTTGGAACCCCTGAGAACTTGGACCCCAGGACCCCAGGATCTTGCTTATCTTCCTCAAGATGCTAGTGTGTTGATGGAGCAAGGTAATGGTCCTGAAAGAGCCTATAAGCTGTAGTTACCAACAATTGAAAGACCTGGATTGGTAGCCAAGGAGAAGTGGGTGTGGCTGCAGTTCTGTCATTTATTAGCTGTGGATCTTGGGCAAGTAATTTTGCATCTGAGTCTCAGCGATTCATTGGGAATATAGGGAACTCAGTATCTTCCTAATCTAGTTATAGGGCTTCCGGGGGTGGGGTGGAGTACAGATGAACGAGGGATGGATGTGACAGTGCTATGTAGACTGTAAAGGGCTGTACACTGATAAGGTGGCATGACTGTCAGCAGAAGAAGCACGGTGTAGGAAAAGAGCATGGACGGGGGCTCTGGACCCCAGGAGTCCAGGCCTTTGCTACTGACTTCCGGGTAAACTGCAACAAATTACCCTGTATCTCCATTGGTAAAATAAGGAGTCTAGACAGATGACATTTGAAGGGCCATTGTCTTCCTTTTTTACTTCGTCTAGGGGGTTCTTTGCTAGTTAATGGAGTTTACTAGTCCCTCTTTCCCTTACTAGCTGCTTTCCTCACCTCACTTCTGGTTTAGAGCCCATGCCTCCTTCCTGTTCTTCTCTGAGCAGGAACTGAAGGCTGCAGCTGATTTGGTTTCTCCTCTTCCCCATCCTCCATCCTCAGGGAGGCCTGGAGGCGTCACTGCCAGGGCAAGGACCTCACCGACTGGGTGGATGGCTGTGACTTGTAGGATCCTCTGTGGATGCACCAGGCCACGCACAGCAGGCTGGGAGATGTGGTTTGGTTTCTGATCCAGGCTTGGGAAGACAAGCCGACCAATAAAGTATAGTCCAACATAAGTGTGATTCTCACCTATCCCTGTGTTTCCAGGTGGCGTGTCAGAGTTTCTTCACCTGTCCACCTGGGCTGGGCTCCAGATGGGCTCCAAAAGGCCTACCATGGAAGCCTTACCTCCATTCCTGGAGACCTGGGGTGGGGCGGGAGTGGGGAGGGTCAGTACCTCCCTTGTCCACACTTGGTAGAGTTTCTTAGACTTTTACCTGGATCTAGGTTTGCTGGATTTGGCCAAACAAACAAACAAACAAACAACAAACAATGATAACCAAAACAGGATGCCTGAGTTAAATTTGAATTTTAGATACACAACAAATAAGTTTTACTATACGTGTGTCCCCAATATTGCATGGGACACACTTATATTAAAAAACGATGTATTGTTTGAGGCACCTGGGTGGCTCAGTCGGTTAAGCAACTGACTTTTTTTTTTAAGATTTGTTTATTTTAGAGAGAGAAAGCATGCATATGCAGGGCAAGGAGAGGCAGAGGGAGAGGAAGAGAGAGAATCTCAAGCAGACTCCATGATGAGCACAGAGCCTGATATGGAACTTGATCCCACAACACTGAGATCATGACCTGAGCCAAAACCAAGAGTTTGTTGCTTAATGGACTGAGCACCCAGGCACCCCCACAGATAATTTTTTTAATTGAGCAAGTTTTTCCCAGGCACTCTCCCTGCCATCAGAGCCTGCCTCCCAAAAATGAACTGAGCTCACGCTGTATCCTGTCCATTCCTCCCCCAACCCCACCAAGTTCACTTCTCCATCCTCTTAGCCCTCAACAGTTATATCCTACAAAATTATTTCTCAGAAATGAAATTCTTAGTCCCTCCTTCTAACTCATCTCAACTAGGCACGAGAAAGGATCAACAAATAGACACCAATATGAGAGAATTTGTATTAACCTAACTCAGTCTCTAGTTGGGAGAATTTTGGGGGCAGCATAAGACAGGAATGAAAAATATGCAGGTGGGGGATCCCCAGGTGGCTGAACGGTTTAGCGCCGCCTACAGCCCAGGATGTGATCCTGGAGACCCAGGATCGAGTCCCACATTGGGCTCCCTGTGTGGAGCCTGCTTCTCCCTCTGCCTGTGTCTCTGCCCCCCCCCTCTCTCTGTGTTTCTCATGAATAAATAAATAAAATCTTAAAAAAAAAAGAAAAATGTGCAGGTGATGTGGGGGAAATATTCTGAGAGATGGAAGCTGGCTAGCATGACCCTGAGTTAATGATCTGAGCCAAAATCAAGAGTTAGGTGCTCAACCAACTGAGCCACCCCGGCGCCCCAAGTCTTGGACTGTTGATTTTGGCTCAGGGTTGTGAGATCAAGCCCCACATTGAGCTTTGCACTGAACTCCAATCCTTCTTGGGATTCTCTCTCTCTCTCCCTCTCTCTCTGACCCGTTCTCCCTGCCACAACTTGTGCATGCATGTGCTCTCTCTGTCTCTTGCAAAAAAAAAAAAATGTGTACTGTATTTTATCTGGCAACCTTACCTGGGTCTGATGTCTACACCTGGCTTATTTGGGAAGGTCCTTGGGACATTTGTTTTCTGTGGCTCTGGTCACAGATGGTGGCCACAGGGCCTTGGCTCTTCCCCTGGAGACCACTAACATCCTGGCAGGAGCCATGGGGTGGTGCATCTGCAGTGGAGACACCACCTGGGCTTCAGGAGACTCGCACCCTGCTCTCCAGTGCCCCCTAGAGTCAGGAAATTCAAGTGCTTGTGGCCAACCCAGCCTGGGAAAGGAAGTTTCCCGGCTACTGCTGACCATTGCTGGGAGCTGGAGGATTGGGGGGAGGGTGTGGGTGGCTTTCAGGCAGCACACCGCACTTCTCTGCCTCCCTCAATATGTGGGAAGCTCAGAAGGAGGCAGCCCTGTCTTCCATTAACTTCTAGCGCATGTCTCAGGTCCCTTGGGATGGACTATATCTGAAGGAGGATGGTGGGCAATCTCAGGATCACTGTGGATGTGGTAGCAAGAGAAGCAACTGAGGTGATGTCTGAGAGGCTGAGCCCTGAGTTGAGATTGTAGATTTTTCTGGAAAGGACTCAGAGAACCCTGCAGTTCTCAGATTGAGGCATGGTTAGTGCTTCCCAGGGAGGAGAGATTGCTCTAATGTTACCACCCCTTCCCACTGACCTGCCATCTCCAGATCCACTGGTCAGCAAACAGCAGAGGTGTGGCTAAGTGTCCACAGGTGGTGAGGTAGGCCGGTTTCTTTCCACTGCTGGTCTGGTGTTGGGCCACTTACATCGCCAGAGCAGAGCTGACCCTGCCTTGTGTCCCACCCTGGCTTTTGGTTTTGCCTCCCAGTGGAGCTTTTGCCTCTAAGTCAAGGTGATGCTAAAACTTGAGAGCTGCTCATGCAAGTGGACAGTGGTGAAGAAGCAAGTCCTTGCTGAGAGTTGGGGGTCTGGGGATCAACGAAGAATTGATTCATTTTCATGAAGTCATAGGGACATATTCTCTTTTTAATATTAAAGCAACACTGTGTGCCTACCATGTGCCATGCATCATCTAATCCAGACCCTAGAACATTACTATGATGGAAGTCCCTTATTCTCCCCATTCTACAGATAAGGAAACAGAGGCTTATAAGACATAAATTTGCACCCAGGTCCATATGATTCTATGTGCTCTTAGGTCACTGTACTTTGCTGAGAGGTAGTTGTCCTGGGTCACCTGCAGTCCACTCTCTCCCTCACCTAGCCAGAGACCCCTGGCTCATTATCTCTGGGTGATTCATAACCTGTTTCCACTTCACTTTAGGTTTCCATTACCTGCAATCAGCTGATTGCTCCAGTGGGTCCCGTTTACTCAGAAGTAGATGGTGAAACCCTTGGAATCAAAGCAAGAGTAGTTAAAAGGATTTGGAGGCTCTAGGCAGGCATGATGGCTTCAGGGCCTGTCAAAATGGGGCTGGGTAGGGCTCAGGCCTTGACAAGGGATCCTGGAGCCCTGGGCTAGGGGGTAGACCAAGAGCAGATGGAGATGGAAGAGGAGAATCCAGGAGACAGCCCTCACCTGTGCATGAGGGTTAAATGGTCTACAGGTCCACTTGGAAGTCCCAGTTTCTAAGTGATGTTCTCAGACTGAGTAACTGGGTTAGCTCCTGGCATCTCCTTGCTTCCATGTCACGTTCTCACTCCACATTCCATTGTTCATTATGTCCTGCCTCTATTACTTTTTTTAAAAAAGTATTTTATTCATTTATTTGAGAGACAGAGAGAACATGAGCAGGAGTGGGGAGGAGCAGAGGGAGAAGAAATAGGGAGCCCAATGTGGGGCTCTATGCTTAAGACCCTGGATTGTGACCTGAGCCAAGAAAAGCTGTTTAACTGACTGAGCCACCCCTGCCTCTTTTACCTTTTTAATATCTATCCCTCCTGTCTGTCCCAGATACCACTGCTTTAACTCAAGCCCCAGTCACTTCTTTCCTAGGGCAATTGCAATGGCCTCATGAGGGTGTCCCTTGCCATCCTAGTTCCTCCCTCCCAATGAGCTTTCCACCTTGTTACTTCCTTACATTCAAGCCACAATGATTTTTCTCATCTTCAGGTTAAAGTGCAAGGTCCTTGGCTTGGTACACAAGATCTTTCACAAGCCAGGCTCAGCTGACATCTACCAATTCATTTCTCAACTGTTCAGAAACTTTTACTCTGGTTGGTTTGTGCCTCTGGTATCCCCATGTGTAGTATCCTGCTTCCTACCTTTCACCATCCCCTGCCATTCTTCCCCATTCATTTACTCCAGACAATCAACATGCTTGTTTTCACAGCAGGGCTTTCACACCTGCCCTTTGTCTTCCTGAAATACCATTTCCTTAGATCCTTGAGTGGCTATTCCTTTGTCTTCAGTCAGCTCTTGTCTCAATTTCACATCCTCAGATTAACTTCTCTGACTGCCATAGCTGAGGGAAGCTCTTCTCCCCTCTTGTCACTATCTTACCACGGTAGTGTGTATTACTGTCTGAGATTATTTCATGCACATGTGAATTTACACGAATCCCCTTTTCAGTCTCCTTATGTTAGATAGTAAGCACCATGAGAGCAGGAAATGTGTCTGTTCCTTCTATGTCCAGCATTTGGAATAGTGACTGGCACATAGTGGGTTCTCAGTGAATGAATGAATGCATGACTGGTGCATGAAAGAATGAATGGTGAGCAGTCAGCTCATGTTTGCAGAATCAGTAATAATCTCTGATACCTCTTCAATAGGTCAGCAGCTTATGCAATGGTCTTAAGTACCAGCTATGTGTCAGGCCCTAGACTCCCTCCAGATGCACCTATTGACCCTCCTGAGCCCTCTTGGGGAGAATTTCTACCTCTCAGTAGGACCAACCTGGCTGTTTTTCATCCAAATCCCACTTAATTCCCCCTTAGCCATGTCTTACAGAGGAAGTTCAGCACGATTTGGGAAAAGCTGGCACAAAGTTTTTTTTTTTTTTTTCCCCCTCTTATTCTGGCTGCCTGAACTTGGGAAAGTCACTCCACTTCTCTGAGCCTCAGTGGTCCTCAGGGATGAGGGGAGCAGATAAAAGCCACCTTACAATATTGCACTGATCACATGATATAGAGCAGTGAGTCACCCAGTACAGGGGCCTGGCACAGCGTGGGGCCTGGGGTATGTCCTACCTGTCCTGGTGACTGGGTGTACTTGGGTTGCCTGCGCCATATCCTCAATACAGTTTGCTAAGAAGGAGGAAGAGGAGAGGGGAAGAAGGAGCAGAAGGAGAAGGGGGACCGTTTGGACAGGTGGCAGAGATTTCTACAGAATACAGGGAGAATGAAGTGCATTATTGTCACTCTTTTAGTCCAAGCTACCTCATTCTTAGCTAGTTTGACTCCAGGAGACCAATGGGAAGTGGGCTTTTCTAGATCTTTTGTGCTAAC